CGGGCTCCCTGCTCGGCGGGGAGCCTGCTTCTCTCTGCCTCTGCCTCTCTCTCTCTCTCCCTGTCTCTCATGAATAAATAAATAAAATCTTTAAAAAAAAAAAAAGAATTTCATGGACACAGCAGCTTATCCATGAAAGTAAAACTGAAGGCGTGTAATAAATAAAGAACCATTTAAAAAAAAAAGTTAGGTTTTCTCTGACCACTCTCAGCTTTTTCTTTTCCTGACTGATTAACGAGGTAAATGTTTCTCGTGTGTGTGTGTGTGTGTGTGTGTGTGTGTGTTTTCCCCCATTTGAACCTCACTGTCCTTTGAGATAAAAAGGTGCACCCATTCCACAGAGGAGGACGGTGAGGCTGAAAAAATAAGGATGTGTTGAGGAAGGAGGGTATCTTATATGTTGCTTTTTTAAAAAATTCTAAGTCCTGAACCATTGGTATCTTTAACTATATGAAACATAGGACTGAATGACTAATGCTGCTCATTTGTTCTAGAAGAACAAGAAAGGTTGGGGCGAAGATGAGCCAGATGAAGAGTCACACACACCCCTCCCTCCTCCTATGAAGATCTTTGACAATGACCCTACACAGGATGAGATGGTAGGACTTCTTTACTTTCTCACTTGAAAGAACAATGTATAACACATGTGATTTTGTCTTGTGTGTGTGGTGAGGGTAGTGATACCGTCTCTCCCTTGTTATCTCCCTGAATCCATAGTGATGCAGATTCCATCTATATTTGGTAGGTGTCCCCTCCCCCCGCCCTGGAGGTCTGACTTCATTCTGGGCAGTGAAGGGGCGCGTGCAGAAGTCCCAGAGCGGGAATCTGTCTGGTGTCTTGTCCTGTTGATGAAGGATAATGACTGTCTTTGGAAGCTGCAGATCCTAAAAGGAACTATTTGTCGCAAAAGGAGTCTGAGGCCGTTCCAGGCTGAGATCACTTTGTTGTACCTGACTTCTGAACTGTGTTTTAGCTGATCGTTTTCCCTATACTGAACTCTAAAATCCAAGTAACAGTAGCTTCCGGTTAAGCCCAAATTCTGCAATCACCACAGGAGGGATGGAGACGCTGCTAAGAGGGTGTTGCTGACAAAGGTGGGAAGACCTAAGTGCAGGTTGCCACGTGGTTGGTCTTGCAAAAATCCCTGCCTCGCGAGCACGCAGAGGCTCACCGGGGCCTGAAGCATAGATGTCTACGTGGCCTCGAATCGCTGAGCGATCACCCTGTTTGCTCTAGAGGTCAGCTTGGATGGGTGGCCTGGTTGCCAGCCGAGGCTCAGGGCTGCTTGAACCGCACGCTCTGTCACTCATTTTCCTAGCAAACCCTGCTTTCACCTCGGTGTGTTTTTCCTGCCTTCTCTTCGTGCCGCTGTCCCCTTGGACTCCGCAGGTTTTAACTGTCCTTTACATTTTCTTTTCAGAGTGGTTGTTGGTGGTGGTGGTGGCTTAGCCTCCCTCCAGGGTCTCCCTGTGTTCCGTGGCTCGGCCCGCTCTGAGGCAGTGGGGCCAGCAGACACGGGGAACACATCTTCATACCACCCCCCAGGGATACAGTTCAGAAAGGCCTGCTTGCAGATGCTTCAGCATGTCTGGTGACAGCCCCGTCCTTGTGTTCATTCCCTCTGCTTTGTATTTGGATCACGAACCCCCAGACATTAGTTGGGGTCTCCCAGGGTGCCACGCGAGAGGGAGAGACTCTCGGGACAGGATGATGATGAAGATGCCCCCTCTGCGACGGTGATGGTGGTGGCCCTGACTCTTAACTGTTGGAAGGGCAAATAGCAGGAAGCACGGCACAATGTCCATCCTGGGTTCCCAGGAGCAGAAGTGCCGCGCTCCACACTGTCAGCACGGGAGCCAGGCTCTTGTGTTCCCAGAGGCCTAGCCTTGTAAAATGTTCTATGAACAGTGACAGCACGTGTGGGGTGGAGGATGCTCCTGTCACAGTATGGGCCCTCCCACGCGGCCCTCCGCATGGAGGTGCCAGCCGGCATCCGAAAAGTAAAGGTCACAAACCCTCCCCCTCGAATTCCCTCAAACACAGCTTGTTTTGGGGAAGAGGATGTTATGCTGTTTCTGGATAATCTTTAACTGAAAAGGCGGACTCACCCCAGACATTTGTGTGGCTTTTTGTTAGCCAGAAAGAGGACTGATGGCAACAGTCCCTTTTTAGACACATTCACCCTCCTCAGCCCTGCCTGTTTGATTTCTGTGCATTTGTTTTTCTGAAATATTTGGGGAGCCTCAGAACTTCTAGCAATTGGAGTTGAACTTAGTAAAATAAGTTTTTACAACAGTCTATAAGGACGTTTTTAGTCTACCTATTGTAATGTTATACAACTGCCTTGATTCTCCATGTTCCCTTCTACTATTTGTTCATATGTGTATATGTTTTATTTTTATAATTGCAATATGCACTTGATATGCTCAATGTTTTATTTAATTTTTTTTAAATCTTATTAATTTTATCTTCATAACTACAATTTTAATAGCTGGGGAGTATTTCCCTTATTTGATGTATCATAATTTGCTTGACCAGTCTGTTTTGGGATATCCTGGGTTGTTTCCAGTTTTTGCTACCCTAGATAACACTGCTGCAGATCACTTTGTACATACAGCAATTGTTCTTTGGACTTCTGTCCTTGGGATAAGTTCCCAGGGGTGGGATTACTAAATCAAAAAGTTGATAGCTTGGATTTCCAAACAGACTTAAGCTCCTTTCCTGCATTCCCCAGAAGAGAAAAAAGAGTGTTGTTATATCTCTCTTAATTATTATTTGACTGTTTTACCCCATCTCAGAAGCAAAGACCTTAAATTAGAAAAGTAGCTTCCTTTTTGAAACTCTTCCCCCTAACGTAAGGGACAAACTTGAAGCCAGAGCATGGCCAGGACATTCAGCTTTTTATCCCTGCGGTGATCAGTGTCAAAGACCAAAAGAGCATGTGTCCTGGGCCCTGGGAGCACAGTTGCCCTCTGCTTAGCTATGCCAGGGGGGAAAGCTCATACGTGTGCATGCAGTGAACCATTTCTCTCCCAATTTCTTCTCAAGTAGGAGAAGGAAGATAAAAACCACCATCCCTGCATGAGGAGGATTCCCCAAACCGTTGACCAAACAGCCACATGAACCAGTCAGTCCTTCTTGCTGGTATAAGTGGATGGGGGGCAGGCCCTTGGCTTGAGCCTCCTTTCACCATGAATAGGATAGTCCCTGGTGACTCCAACATGAAATACACAACTCCTTGCTAAAACCATTTATTACATCCAGGTGTTTCAGTTCGGGGGCCTTAGCACAAACAGCTATGTTTGTGGAGGTGTGTGTGTATGTGTGTGTGGTGTGTGTGTGTGCACGCACGTGTACGCACATGTGAGTGGGCAGGGTTTCTAGCTTCCTGGTCTTTAAGTGCTCTGCCCTAGAATTTTTGCTTGATACACACTGAAGACCTATATTTAAAATCTGTATTTAAGCAAAGTGAAGACAATTTCTCTCCTTTGGACACATTTGAGGCTAGGTTTATGGATTCCTTTCATACCCTGGAACAGCAATGGGCAGCCCTGTCGTGGCCAGAGTTCTGTCTGTCCCTCTCCCCTGTTGCTGACAGTGGGTGCAGCCCTTACCTATTGGCCTCCCGGGAACTCAGCAAACCCTGCCCTCAGCTCCTCCGGAGGCCTGCCAAAGGAGAGCCTAGTCCCATCCCTGCTTTGCTGCTGGCCAGAATTCCTGACAAGGGGTCAGGCAGGCCTATCCCACACCCCCTCCTATCTCCCTCTGTGATCTCTTGCCTCTAGACATAAAGCTTTGTTTCCCTTGCCTGTCTTGAGCTGTGGACTTGCTGTTTTGCTTCCTAACTGCTATTCCTCATTCCTTGCTAATCTGCTTTTCCTTTGCTGCTCAATGTCTTGCAGTCCTCCTCTTTGCTAGCAGCCCGGCAGGCTTCCACTGAAGTACCTTCTGCTGCAGACCTTGTCAGTGCAATAGAACAATTGGTCAAAAGCAAGCTGGTAAGTGGGGGTCCTGGAGGCAGTTCTGTGTATGTCTCACCTCCATGTGGCTCCCGGGGCCTGGCGTCTGTCTGCCATGGCCTCCTTTGCCCCTGTCCTCATTCCTCCTATAGGATTGTTTCTAGCTAAAGATGGTTTCCAAAAAACCTTGTGCTCCAAAGTCTTTTTAGCCTTTTTTTTTTTTTTTTTTTTGGAATGGGCATAGGCAATTAATAGGCCCTTTTGGGATTGTGGCATTGATGAAAGGAAAAAAGTATCCAAGACAAAATAGCCTCCCTGTGAGCCCGGTCCACTGACCCACAGGGATGCGGCATTTGGACAGTGACTGGTGTGTGTCTGGTTAGCCCTGAAGCTAACTTGGCTGCTGAGACACAGAACATGGATTGGGTCTTTGAAAGCACCAGGTAATTTTATTCGGGGGCCCTCAACAATTTTCTAGCTTGCAGAGTCTTGTAAAAGTCGATTGCTGATTATAACGGGGAATGGGCAAAAGTGTGTAGATACCTCCCACTAGAGATTAGAGGAGCTGAGACATACCCCCATCATGGGGGAAAACTGAACTTACGCCCCTGAAAACTGGCCTAGCTTGTGACTGTCTCAGGGGCCAATCAGATCACTGCAGAGAAGGGTTATGCTCTGGCTGCTTTAGGGTTTGGGCACCATGCTGCTGAAAGAGCTCATTTTTGGATAATGCTATTCCCCTGCCCCATGTTTTTACACTGATGCGTATCTCTACAGGATGGCAATTTGAAGCATTCTCCTTGCCCTTCACCCTCATCCGTGTCACTTGTTTGGTTTTTCCTGCAACTCTCATTAGCATAACTGTCTATGCTTCTGCCAGACCTCTCTTGGGTAGTTCTGCTTATCAGCACCATTTAAACCCTCCTCCCCTTGGCCCAGGAATTAGAGGAAAATGCTGGATGCCGTGCAGGGAACACTGCCCGATCATAATTCTGATTCCAGTAACTCCGTCTTTAAATCTCCCAGCCTGGAGAATAATGATGAAATTTAACACATGATTTTATTCTTCTCCTTCTAAGTTTTCCTTCCTAAGTTAGAGAGAATATTTCGGCTGATGTTTTTAGTAACTGCGTCTGAAGGTTGTCCGTTTTCCTGCCACCCTCCCTGTCTTGTTGGCGGGAGTCGAGTGCTCTCATGGGCACTCCACTGGCTTTTCAAAGCTTGCCTCTCCGACCACTCCTCACTTGCTCTCCTTTCCTCTCCACACTGACCCCCACACCCTCCTCGCTCTCCAAATACTAACAGTGTTTTTCCTTAAAAATCACCCTTTGTTTTTTTTCTTTACATTTTCCCTTTCACCACCTGACCCTGAGCCCTGACCTCATGCCTGGACTATTGCAGTAGTTCCTCTGCCCAATCAGCCTGCCTCCCGGGCCTCGGTCTCCTGGCGGGTCTTCCACGAGCACTGCTATTGCCTCTCTCCTCAGTGAAGGCTCACTGCCTCCCTCCTGCCTCCATGGTTTTCTCTAGGGTTGGGGTGCCTTCAGGTACCCAAGACACTTTACTGAGGTGCAGGAAGACAATTTTGGAATCTCTTCATCTCATCATTTAAAAATGATTTGGGGCATATTTTGTTACGTACATAATGATAATACAGTAGCATGGAAATACAAGTTATAAATAAGTTACATGTTTTGGCAATGTATGACCAAAATTATGTTTACTGATGGAGGAATATGATCAAAGTTTGGAAATGACTGGATAAAATATTCCATGGATAAAATCCACACTTATCCCGTATTCTAATGCTTTGTAGCCAGCCTATGACGACTTATTTATTCCGGCTGATGAACTGTGCTCCAACCAAATTGTTTTCCTCGTGCACTTGGCTTTCCTCCCTCTGAGTTTCTGTTCATACCACCCTACTTCTCTCGAACATTCCCCCTCTTATTTTTGCTTATCTAAAGCATAGGTCCTTTAGGGCCCCACTGGAATCTCATCTGCCCAGAAGGGCTTCCCTGACTCACCCAGGCCAGATTTCCTGTGCAGTCCCGTGGCAATTACTGTGTGAGCCACACACTGTGGGGGCAGCTCTTAGATAGTTCTGTTGGGTTATTTGTTAAAGTATCTTAATCTGTGCAGCTTCCCTACCCAGCAAGATGATTGGTCATTTAGGACATGGTTTTCCCCTCCTCCATTAGTACACAGGAGGCTTTTACGCTCATACATCAGTAGACACTTGTTTCCAAAAGGCTGTATTTTTCTGTATTTTGGATTACCTTTATCCTGCTATTACTGCTCACCTGAGCACTGCTGGGAGTCCCCACAGCCCTCTAGTTGTGTGATCGGCGTGTCTGGTGTTAAACAGGTAAGGGCAGATATTGAGAAGTCCCCTGAGAGCAAGTTTCCCAGAAGAGAGGAAGTGGAGGGTGTTGGTGGAGCAGATCAGCCCTGTAACAGGCCCTCAACAAACCTCTATCAGATGAGTGGTTGCTCTGTGGTACGTTCCCACAATAAGAACTTTAACTTCTTCTTCCACCAATAACTACTTCTTGAGGACCTGTACTGAACCCAGAATTATAGATTTCTTTGGCCAAACAAGTAAAACCAAGCCCATGTCACGGAGAGGAATGAGGGAGCAGCAGTTTGGTTTCTCAGAATCTTCTCACCAAAATTTGATCCTTTGTCCTTCCCTCTGCTTTCTTTCCTCCCATCCCAGTACATACCCACTGTGGGAGAGCAATGAAGCAACAGAAGGTGGTTGTTTCCCCCAGGCATGTTTGAGAACCCCGAGTTGCATTTTTACCTCTGAGGCTTGTATTCCTATTCCTCATTAGCTCTTTAGCTGAGAAGATGGTAAGACCTAGTACCTATGAAAGTTCCAGAGTTTTTATTTGACTGTAAGTACAACAGTGTGACAGCTGCCAAAATAGCCAGTGTGTGTTCATAGGCTAGGTTAGTGAAAGTACAGTGTACAATCAAGGAAAGCAACAGCCCCATTGTCCTCAAAGTTCTTCAGCCCGTACCTGCCATGAGTAGCGTGAGTCATGTATCAGGTTCCGAACGCAGCATTCTCAAGTGTTCTTGAACTCAGTGGAAAGGCCCCAGGAGGTAAACCGTACCATGTGGCCCATATCATTTGAAGGAAAGTTGAAGGTACTGGGTTAAATAGGGGGAGAAGTTAGAAGAGAGAAGTCTCGTAAGAGCTGTCCTGAATTCATTGAGGACTGCCGTGGGAAAGAAGGGTTGGTCTCACTCTTTGTTGCTCTGAAGGGTGGAACCTAGACCTGTGGGTGGAAGTTATCTCAGTTCAGTATGAGATGAGGTAATAAGTTCCTTCCAATTGACAGAGTCTGGAAATTTTACAGGAGCATCTAGCATACTTGGACTTTTATATCTAGGGCTTGGATTCTTTCTACTTTCTTTTTTGGTTGTTCCAGAGATAGCACCAAATTCTGCTCCACCCAAAAGCCTGGAGATCCCTGTGTCTCGGAGTCCCAAATCTGCCCTTGGTGCATTATGGTCATGTGGTCGTGACGGCACCAAGGCTTCTGCCCCAGAGTTGCTGGTAGGAAACAAGGGTAGGTGTTCTCCAGCTCACATACAATACAGACAAAAACCCTTGAAGCTCCCCTAGAACTCCTTTGACAAGTCCCTCTGGACATTAGTAGACACTTGAGTTCTCATCTGCCAGCCTTGGTCTTGAATCACTGCTTTTATTTACCAAGAGAAGATACCCACCCACCTCGCCCCAAATAGATCTCACACATTTTTTCCACATTTCGTATTAAGATACTGTCTCTAACTCCAAGCCAGGCATAAGGACTCTCCCTGCTTTCCCTGTGTGATTTTACTTTTTATTTTTTTAAGTAAACTCTAGCCCCCAACGTGGGGCTCAAACTAACAACCCCAAGATCAAGAGTCACATGCTTTACCGACCGAGCCAGCCAGGTGCCCCTCCCTGTGTGATTTTTAATAAAGCTTTTCCTAGACATGAGGATGGGTGGTAGCAGTAGTGGATATGTAGGGAATCAGAGACCTGGGTTGTAGTCCTGCCTTGGCTACTTATTGTGTAACCGTGGGCACCTTACTTAGTCTACTTGTAGACTAAGTAGTCTTAGACAAGTACTTAGTTACTTGTAGACTAAAGGAGAGCTTTTATCTCCTTTATCAGCAGTGACGATTCTGTCCACCTGAATCTTATCTCAAAAGAGATACCATGATGATTGAGTAGGTGTGAATGTGCTTTGTAAAATGATAAGCAAGCGTCCTACACATGTTAGCTCTTAGCCATCTCATCTGTGATCTGTGTTGTGAATGTCAGGGCAAGGGAACAGTGTCATCCCTTTCTTCCATAAACACGTCCTGGGCCATGGGGACACAGTATTTGTCAGCCAATAGACTAGTGGTTGAGTGAACAGGGCAGGGTGATAGCTTAACAATCTATGTGATTTGGTTTTATTCCTCAAGTTTGAGGCACAAGAGCTTCCTGGCCATGTGAAAAATCTCGCATGTCTCTCAACAGCCACAGGATTTCACAGCCTGCCTGAGATGAAAGATCAAGTGTCTAGAAAGAACACCTCCTGTCTGAGCCCTTGTCCTCAGATGGCATGTCACAGTAGTTCACTGGGCTTGGGATGGTACCAATGGCCCCTTGACTGATAATCCTCTGCCTTTGGGGTAGGGGCTGGCCGGGATTGAGCTCTTGTTCAGTCGACCTGGTGGCCTGGCATCCTAGAATGTGTCTACCTGCTTCAGCAAGACATCCTTCCCTCTGGTTCTCCTGCTTTGATAGCATTCACCTCTCTAGTCCAGCCCTGTGGGCCACGAAACACGACTAGGTGAGGCTGCATCTGTGTGTATGTATGCTTTGCTCTCCTCTAGATGAATTGGCCTGCTTCGTCAGTGGCAAGGTAGAGTTAGCCAACGTTAAGAGCCCAGAGGAGAGGAAATAATGGCCACATCACACCCATGGTGGAAGTGTATGTTTTGAGGCACTGGGTGCCTCTGGCCTCCCTCTATGGAAAAGGTTCCTGAGCTTGTTGAAATAGAAAAGTTTCGATTTCCACCAAAAAATTTTTAACACAAAGTCACAAACCTGAAATGTCATTTGCCTAAACATGACATTTTCTACTACTCAGTTATCTTCTTCCCCATCTCCACCCTTAATGTGCCTGGAAATGATTCTTATCTAGTACTATTTGTCCAGAGAATATTATATACATTTTTAGAACAGGGTGGGGAAGCTAAGAGGTTGGTGTGGTGCCTGGTGCTGGACCAGCACCCTTATCTGTTGTTTTTTCAGATGACCTTTGACCTCTCCCCCAAGAGTCCCATAGTACATTCAGTAAATTCTTAGAGTCCTACTATGTGCCAGCTCTGAGATCAAGCACAGAACCTTCCTTAATGGAGCTCACACCCTAGGGTTAGTGCTCAAAATGCTCTCCTGCCTGGACTGTTGCAACATTTCCTCCCTGACTGCAGTCTGACATCTCTCTACATGACTATCAGATGGATTTTCTTTTTAAAAAACTTTTTAATAGTTCTTTTTTTTTTTTTTTTTTTACTAATAAAAGCAATATATGCTCATTCAGGAAAAACTGGAATAAAGACAAGGGTATAAACACAAATTATATCACTGATAATATCATCATCTAGACATATTCCATGCTGAAATATTGATATATCTTCTCCTAGACCCTTTTAAAAATAATGTAGTTAATTCGAGTGTATAGAAAAGTGAAGTCCTTTTTTCCTTTACTGTCATATCGGAGACATTTTCCCAAGTCATGAAAAGCCCTTAGGAACATTAAGACTGATCTTCCTAAAACTTAAATCCAATCATGTTAATTCCCTGCTTCAAACCCTTTCATCAATGGTTTTAGAAAGTGAAGTCTCTACTTCTTAATGCGGCACACAAAGCTCCCTATGATGTGTCCCTGCATACTTCTCCAGGGTTCTCTGTCTCACTCCTCCCCTCTTCCCTCCCAAGTGCTCACTCACTCCAAGTCACACAATATATAGTCACTTGCCACCACCCCCCACCCCTCGCCCCTTTCATACCCTATATTCTACCTGTGTGGGCTGCTTTCAGCTTCCCAGGCTGCCCTGGGTAGGTTCAAGCCTTGATCCTTTGCTCAGAGTGCTGCTCCTGCCTGGAATGCTCTCCCATCAGGGGACCCAGTGAAATCTCTATTTCTCAATACTCAGTTCAAGCATTGCCTCTTCCTTTCCTCCCCTCTCCACCCCCTCTTCCCCCAGAGAGCAGCCTACTCCTTTTTTCATCCCCTTTGGTGCCTCTTCCATCTAGAACAGCATCGATGATAGCTTAGATTATGGCGGGGGGGGGGGTGCGGGTAGGAAGCCAAATAGTATTCATCTTCATTTCTGCAGTGCTTGGCAAGTATTTAGCATGTAGTAGATGCTCAATGAATATTCACTTGAGTACAAACAGATGATCAGTCGCAGTACTGTAATGACTGGTGTGCAGGGGTGTGTAAAGGGTGCTTATAGGAGTCCCAAGGAGGGGCATTTTATGGGTGTGTGATCCACAATCCAGCAGATAGGAAATGTGTTCATTTTTAATGTGGGGACAGCCTTCCTCTATACTTAGTCTACTGCTTTGAATCCTATTTGCATTTCTGTTCCTTGGCCTTGGACCAACGGGAGGAAGTTTTGTGGCCCTCTCCTTGTGCACCTTCTCCTTTGCCTGCTGAGACTATTGTGGCCTGAGCCCCGGGCAAGGCAGAAGTCCTCCCACTACCCATCAACCCAGCCACCGCTGCCTGCCTCCCACCAGGAGCAGCACAGACAGTGGCAGGTCGCCCCTAGTTGCCCGTGGCTGGGACCCAGGAGCCCCACTCCAGCCCTGGTAGCCAGATCCTCAGAGGGAACGGCATTTGAGTTAATAAGCATTGATAGCCAACGCCATTATGAGGCAGATTTCCCAGACTACAGCTTAGCCAGACCCTTTCTCTCTTCTTCCTCTCTCACTGCCTCTGCCCTGCTCACCCCCTTGCGGAGAATCATTCCCCAGAGATAATTGGGGCTGCTTTGCTCATAGGCAGGAAGATATGGAACATATTTCCCTGTGTGGCACCTCGGACTCCTCAGATATCCTTCATTCTAGAGGGTTAAAAGTGGACATGCCAAGCTGGATGTTCCACAGGAGAGCCTTGTAGGCAGAGATGTAAGCCTTTTTGCCTGGGCCTTGCAGTCAGCATCCTGCCAGCCAACAGGCTGCAGAACAAAGGCTGTAATAGGACAATGGGACAAGGAGGAGGGGAAGTAAAAGGCATGTAATCAGATCAGTCACCAGCTGGGTCCATCTGCCTGGGAGCCTGTCTCTGGCGATGGCACCAGGGAACAGGTCACATGTCTTGAAAAGCCTGCCTGTCCACTGGCTTGTCAGACCCCAGCACCAGACACTCTCATTTCCTTAATAACTGGTTACAGATCCTGAATCTATAAATTTAGCTAAACTCTCCTTGACCTTTCTGTATTTTTAGCCTATGCTGCTTCTCAGGATAACAACTTCCACGGTTGATCACTTGTCCTGTAAAATAACTTCATGACAAGTTAAAAGAAATTCTCTCTCTCGAATTTGAAAGCACTATCTTCTTAATTCTAGTTTCTGCTGTTGGTAACACATTCATGCTTGGCCCTTGGTACATTTTGTTGATTTGGGGTAGAGTAGGGGAAAGAAGGTTGACATCTCTTCTCAGCTTTACATTTTTCAGCTTTAAGTCTTTTTTTTTTTAAGATTCATTTATTTTATTTATTTATTTAAAGATTTATTTATTTATTTGAGAGAGAGAGAGAGAGCACAAGCAGGGGGAGCGGCAGAGGGAGAGGGAGAAGCAGGCTCCCCACTGAGCAGGGAGCCGTGGTAGGACTCGATCCCAAGACCCTGCGATCATGACCTGAGCCGAAGGCAGACGCTTAACTGACTGAGCCACCCAGGCACCCTTATTCATTTATTTTTGAGAAAGAATGGGGAAGGGACAGAGAGAGGGGGGGAGAGAGAAATCTCAAGCAGACTCCCTGCTGAGCATGGAGCCCAACATGGGGCGTGATCTCACAACCCCGAGATCATGACCTGAGCCAAAACCAAGAGTCGGACGCTTAACCTACTGAGACACCCAGGTGCCCCTCAGGTTTACATCTTAATATCTACCACCTGTGCTCATATAATGAATGACCCGACACCTCATTTACTTTTTGTTTCATTCCCCTGGACTTTTCCTTTTATTTGTCCTATCTTGAAGTACAGCAGCTATGAGAATTTAGACAGATACTCCAAGTGCAGGCTGTTTAACACTATGCTGAAGCCTTTTGTTTCTCCCACCCTTTTGGAGACTTTTTGATCTTTGTGACTTTGACCTTAAGGCTGATGTTTTCAAAGACTTCCATAGTGAAGCCTTTCCTTTGAGCCGCAGAGACTGTTGTAAATAGGCCTCTTGTGTGGGTAGTTTGGATTAGACTCCCATATTTGTTTTAGAGTCGCTCACCTTGACCTTGATCTCCAGGCTTACGGTTTATCCACATTGCTTCTGCCATGTTCCATAATGAAATGCTAAGTGTCGCTGTGTGATCTTTCTTTGAGGACATCTGTAAAAATGCTAAGATTGGCCCCATTTTTACATATCCTTCTTGTTAACAGCTTCAAGGGGGGGGAGAGCTCATCATTGTAGAATATTTTTAATTTTTCAAGGGATTATATAACTATTGTCTCGGTATATTCCTTAGAAATCTGTAGAAAGGAGAGATCTGATTTGAAAATTGAAAAAAACTGAAGCATGCATGGAATAATTGCAGCTGTCTCACTTAAGATCATCCAGTGATAGCAGATTTGGGGTTAGAATCCTTTGCCAGAGTACTCTTTCTAGAGTACTCTATTAATACCTTTACCTTGTTTCTCAATCCTGCAGCACCTTAACTAAAAGAAATTAAAGGAATTCATAAATGAAAGAAAACCCTTGGTAAATAACCTTAGCAAAGATATTTTTAGGAAAGGCTAAATCTATTGACCTCTTCCTGTCTGCATCTCATTGGCCTCTTGGGGAAAAAAAGTATAGCTGATTTAACAAACACGAGTTTACCCAACTAGCTCTCCTGTCGCTACCCTTCCCTTATCAATTGGCATTTGATGGTCCCACAACTGATTTTCTTTTCTAACTGCTTCATTAGCGTAGAATTGCAATGATTAGCTTTACCTCTGTAGCTCTTACCCAGATACAAGTCACTTTGACAATTTTCATTATGTCGGGAAATTGGCAGCACATGACGGCAAGTTCATCCTGATTGCCTGAGAAGGCGGCAGCTCTGGGCAGTCTGCTGCAGGGAGAGGAGAGTACCTGGCTTTCTGGTACTTGATTGACGTTCGGTGAGAACTGCCTTGGCTACTGGTCTACCAAGTTGGCTGCTGCTAGGCTGGAGGGGACACAAGGGCCTCCAGATGACTTTTCAATGTACACTTCCCTAAGGCTGTTTTTCTTCTCTTTTCAGAGTCTAGAAGGAGGCTCATACCGGGGAAGCTTGAAAGACCCTGTAGGCTGCCTGAATGAGGGGATGACCCCACCCACACCTCCTAGAAACCTGGAAGAAGAACAGAAAGCCAAGGCCCTGAGAGGCCGGATGTAAGTGATTTCTCCAGATTCTACCCTAGTGCACATGTGTACAATGGGTTAAGGTTGGAGGAAGTTTGGAGAGGATTACAGAGGGGTTCCCCACACTGTATTTCCATTGATATCATTCATTCTAAGTAAAGGTGACCTAGATCTGTACAGTGTACATTGATAAACAAGGCACTGCAATGGCACTGACTTTAAGAATTTTAGGCTGAAGTATTCTCTTGGGAGATAGCAGCTATTATTGACAAAGTGTGGTTATAACCAAAGTCTGCTAGAAATTTATTTTTTTTTTTTTAAAGATTTTATTTATTTATTTGAGAGAGAGAATGAGACAGAGAGAGAGAGCATGAGATGGGGGAGGATCAGAGGGAGAAGCAGACTCCCTGCTGAGCAG